AGTTAGATTGTTTTATTTTTTTTGTTTCATCCCACGCTAACACACTATTAATTAATAAAACAAAACACAAAAAAGTTTAGCCCGCCTAGGGCTCGAACGCAGGTCTCAGGATCCAGAATGTGTGGCCTTAATGGCTGTAGTAGTATAGGGAGTTCAGTTTGTTTCGTTTTATTTTTTGTTTTATCCCATACTAATACACTATTAATTAATAAGACAGAAAAATGTACTTAAAATGAATTTATATTCTATTTTCTTTTATTTAGACACACTATTAAAAGTTTTGTTCAATTTTCTTTTATTTAGACTGGGATTGATTTTGTTTTTTTCTTTTATTCGTTTATTATTTGTAAATATAGTTAGTTTATATTCTAAAATAACACAAAAATTTGTGTCTTGATTATTCAATTCTATGATAATTAATTAATGGTCTAATATTATTAAATAATATTGTTTGTGGATATTATCTCAATATTTAATTACATAGTCAATAATTAAATTATAAAGATACACACAAAATATAAATTAGATATTCAGTGCGAATTACTGATTCAACGTCTGAATAATGATTACATAGTTAATAATAATCTGACTATCTTCATCGGGTCCAGCAATGAGGGCCTCATCGTGATCACGCCGGACGTAAGCAAGTTCGTCACCCTCTTCAAGGATAGGTAGGGGTATGTTCGTCCCGAATGCAGGCATTTCCTGATAGCCCATGTAGTCTTCTTCGTCTATCACTCCATCGATACCGACAATCTTCCTTTTTTCTTCCGGGACTACTTTTAGCTTTGCTTTTGTCTTGTTGTCCCCTGTATAGAAGATTTGCATAACGTCTTTTGCAAGGACGAAAGGGCCGTCTCTGTATGCGATCTGGATGAGATCAACAGTAGTGAACCCTTCTCTGTCGGTGGTGATTTCCTCGAGCCGAACCCATTGACAGCGAAAAAGAGCTGCCTTCAACTGACCATAGTCTAGCTCACATATCTCCTCTATGAAACCATAGGACGTCGCCTACACGTTGCTATTTTTATCATGAGCATCAAAACAAACACCACTATTTTGGTATGTGCTCTTTCCATCTTGCTTTTTTATGTAAAATGTAAATCCAATGATCTCATACCCTTGGTACTTAAGCAATATACTCGAAGGTCCCTTGGCTAAGATATCCAGCTGATTACCCAATGTTGTTCCAATCAAGTGGCATCACAACCAACTGACAAATTTCTCCTTATGTTTTATCAAGCCAAGCCTGCAACCTGTTCGGATACAAAGTTTGCAGCGATTGCCTATGCTCATCAATGTATGGCATGACATCCTCTACTTGCTGGAGAACAGTGAATTGTGCCTGTCTAAAACAAATGGGGTCATCTACTGTGATAGATTTCTCCCCGATCATTCCTTTGCCACCCAGTCTTCCCTCGTGATGAGATTCGAGAACTCCGACCCTATTAATATCTAGATAATATGTGCATAACTCAATGACCTGCTCTGTTGACCATCCTTCAACCATGCCCCCTTCTGGTCTGAATCTGTTCCTAACATACCACCTAAAAACTTTCATCAACCTTTCAAAAGGGAACATCTGATGTAGGTATATTGGGCCAAATGCTCTAATTTGGTCAATAAAATGAACGAGCAGATGCACTGAGATATCAAAGTAAGTCGGTGGGAAATGCATCTCAAGTCTAACGAGAGTTTTGGCTATGTCTCGCTATAGCTGGTCCAGTGTGGACACATCAATGACATTTTTTGAGATCGCGTTGAAGAACGAGCACAGCTTTATGATTGGGACGTCGACCTTTGGTGGGAGGATACCACGCAGGGCAATAGGAAGCAGCTGAGTCATAATGACATGACAGTCATGGGCCTTCATATAGCCATAGTTGAACTTGAGTTCTCTCATGTTCACTAGCCTCTTCGGGTTCACACAGTAGCCCATCGGGGCTTTGAGTTCATTGAAGAAAGAAATAAGCGCACGCTTTTGTTTCTTCTTCAAGGTCCACGACGCAACTACAAGTTCGAACTGGCCATCCTCTAGGGCCACGGGATGCAGCTCCTTCCTGTTTCCCAAGTGTTGCATGTCCAGGCATGTGGCTAGTGCATCCTTCGATGTCCTCCCGGTGTTCATCAAGGTGTTAAGCGTGTTACCGCACATGTTTTTAGTAATGTGCATGGGATCAAGACAGTGGCGTACACTCAACACTGGCCAGTAAGGTAGTTTCCAGAAACCCGATTTTTTCTTCCAGATGCTCCCATCAGGAGCTGCTAGTGCATTGTGCCCCTTCCCAAGGACAACCTCCAGTTTGTTGACTTCTCGAAGTATCGCATGCCCGTCTTGATATTTTGGAGGTGAGCGTTTCTCAATAGTCCCGTCAAAATCTTTTATGTTCCTGCGGTAAGGGTGATCCTTAGATAGGAACCTATGGTGTCCCATATAAACTATCTTTGAGTTCTTTGATAGATGTATCTTATCGGTGTCGTCCAAGCACTCGACACATCTAGTATAGCCTTTTGTCTTCTCTCCGGACAAGCAACCTCGACCTGGCAGGTCGATGATTATAGCGATAAGTACTGCCTTGATCGTGACATATTCCTTTTTGTACTCGTCCCAAACATCCTCCACACCCTTTTCAAACATCTGATCAAAGCCTTTATAGTTCAATTCGTTTGTCGATTTGAACTCTAATAGCATGATGTCAGCTTTCAGTTTGCTCATTGGATAATTCTTATACAATAGTGTTTTGTCATCTTGTCTTATTTTCTCTAGCTTTCCCAGCTGTCTTTCACTAAGACATCTGGTCTCTACATTACGTAGCAGCTGAGAAATGCCATCGTTATCTTTGGTGTCATCAGCTAGCGTGTTCCTAAACACATCATTAACTGTGGCCATAGGTTCTGTGTTGACACCGAGTTTCTCGTCAGCATCGTGGATGGCTACGTCAAGCATGGCCACATCAGGAAAGGCCACATCATCATCGTTTTCCTGCGAAACATTCACACCAACCTCGCCATGCATAGTCCATATCATATAGCTTGGCATGAACCCCCTAGTAATCAAGTGCATTCATAGAGACTCAATTTGAGCCCATTTTCTTTGATTCATGCAATCTTTGCATGGGCAGAAGATAGGGTTCCCTTTCCTAGCATGGGCTTTGGCATCGGTGAGAAACTTGTCGACGCCAATCATGTACCATTTGTCCATTTAGCACCCATACATCCATTCTTGATCCATCTCTGCACAACAAAATATTGAGACAGTAATTACAGAGAAATTAATAATAAGTGGAGCTTCATGAACAACAATTGATGCTCGAAACAATAATTTATTCTATACTTATTTAATTTAGTCACCCCGTTTTTGAAAAATATTATTGTACACTAATTATTGGAATATTGAAATTGGTCGGCCATATAAAATGAAAATAGTAGCACCATTAAAAAACAATTATTTCACAATAATAAAGAACAATTATTCTACTCTATGCAATATAAAAATGGAGACACTAATTAAAAAAACAGTAAAATTGGAGATATGATCATGAACAACAATGTAGCTCCAAACAATGTTTTGGTAGGTGGCACATGGATTAATTTGCTCACCAAAATTGTAAAAGAATCTACTCTACTCCTATCAAGAACTAATTATAGCTTCACATGCTAACAATGATCTTGACCACTATGTAATTAGCTAGGAATTTAAATGTGTTCAAAGACGCCAACCTTTTGGATGATGGATTCACCACAATTTGCTTGCAAGCCTTGCACAAAGTCTAATTGAAAAAGTGCTCTCTAGAATGGAGAAAGTACTAGAACGAGAATAAGCAATGTAGCCATCAAAACAACGCTAATTAAGCAACGAAATCAAAGAAGTGGATGCTTGTTACTAACCTTAAAGCAAGAAGATCAAGCCATTCTTCTAAATCCAAAAGCTAGCTTCATGGTGAAGAGTAGCTGCAACAATGAAGGGAGCGACCCAAACGCGCGTCTCTGTGCTCAGGATGGAAGAGAGGAGGAAGGAGAGTACAGCACCAGCTTTTTGTACTGTGATGTTATCACCATCGGTTCTTGTCTAGAACCGACAATAATAGCCCACCATCACTGACGGTTCTTGGCTAGAACTGGCAGTGATAAGTAGACATCAAGCCACTACCGGTGCAAGCCACAAACTAGCAGTGATGTGAACTTTCACTGCTGGTTTTGACCCAGCCCCAATCATTTTCTGATTTTCAAGCTCAGAACCGGCAGTGAAGGTACATCACTGCCGGTTCACCCTAATCCGGCAGTGATGAGGCCGGCAGTGATGTCAAGATCTGTAGTAGTGATTCCTTTCAATCCTATCCACAAAAAATAAACACATCCTCACTACCGCAAACATGTGTGCTAAAAAGTAGTCCTTAAGCTTTCAAATTATTATGATGAGCTCGACACACCCTGTGTAACAGCCTTTGCGAACATCTTCATCAACTCTGTCAATGAATGGAGCCTAATTATATTTTGTTTGTGCTTGGATATGCTGCATTAAATACAGAGGTCGGTTCCAATTTCCCATGTTCATTTAATTTCCAACATACTCCAGATATACTGAATCTGGATAATTTTGATTCATTTATACTGTAAGATTTGTGTAAATTGTCTGTCTTGGACAGGTGTGAACTCAAATGGTTGCATGTAAAAGAGCACCACTGCTGATTTAGGCATTGCAAACAGATCGGTATGCTATTATTCGTCAGAGCATGCTGCAAACTAGGACTAGGAAATATTGTGCAACACATCGACTTGATGCCTTATTCATAGAGCGACTTTATCATCACAATATACTTATTTCCCCTTGCTGTCCAATTGTGGATGTTTACACTTGCTATTTGACGCCCATGCCACAGGGTTTTAACTAGCATCGTAAATGAGCTGCAGCATTACATCAAGTTTATTTGACATGACTTTCACATTTGTGTTTGCTCTAGTATATTAACAGAAAGACTGAGAGCATGTAAACCAGCATGCTACTTGAAAGAGTTCTCGATGTCGATTACAAAGCGGTATTTCACATCTCGATTAACAAGCCTCGTGAGAGCCTCATTGATATAATCTATCTTAATGATCTCAATCTCTGGATAGATTTTGTTCGCTGCACAAAAGTTAAGCATTTCTTGGATGTCTTTTGTACCTCCAGTAACACTACCAGACAAGGTCCACGCACCTAAAAAAACAGTTCAGGTTAAATCTGAATAATTTAGCTTTCAATACCACGTTTCTTTTTAGTACAGAGTGTCAGAACAGAGAATTACCACGACTAAGGCTTGCAGGATGCATTTGGATCTCACTTGGAAAGCCCACTATTGCCATCACACCACCAACCTTAAGGAGAGAGAGATATGGATCAAATGGATGGTCACCAGAAGCGGTGTCAACTATGAAGTGCAGGGAGTTTTTCAGGGACTGCAAAAGCAAGAGATCACATATTCACGATCAGTTTTCAGGTAAAGCAGCACAAACATCACTTAGCAACATATCTTTATTCTCAGCATAAGAAAACTATCCAATGTCATATACAGAACTGGCTGCCTAGAACTTTAATGTCAAGTACCAAAATAATGAGAAAGATAGTGATCTGCTATCTGTTCCTTCCATGTGAAAACAATGTGATGTGCTTGTATCTTTGGCAATAAAATAAAGAAATAAAAAGAACCCCACCAAAAGATGGTGTCATATTATCAAGAAGGCAAACGTGGTATATTCCCTCCCTTTCAAAATGTAAGATGTTTTTGTTTTATCCTAAGTAATTTTTCTCTAGCTTTGACCAAGTTTATAGAAAAATATATTGACATCTACAATACCAAATAAATGCACTATCAAGACACATTCCACAGTAGATTCAACAGAATAAATTTGGTGTTATAGATACTAGTGCATTTTTCTATAAACTAGGTCAACAATAGAGTTTTTCGACTGAGGACCAAAATAAAACGTCTCATATTTTGGAACAGATGAAGTACGAGGTGCCTAGGTACGTTGAGATTATGCAATGTTCAGGGCAGTACCTCCATCTGCTGTGTGTCTGATGATAGAACAAAATTATCTGCTCCAAGGAGGCTGATCGCTTCATGTCTCTTTGATTCACTTGTACTCAAAACTGTGACCTTAAGACCAAACGCTTTACCAAATTTCACTGCCATGTGACCCAGACCACCGAGTCCAATGACCCCAAGTGACTTTCCAGATTGGTTCATGTTGTGTCGCATCATTGGAGTATACACAGTTATTCCAGCACACAGAAGAGGGCTGCCTTTGCCAAAGGGTAGCCATCGGGTATTTGGAAGCAATACCTAAAGTTCAAATTAATCAACAGAAAATGTGATTCCTTATCTGAGAAGTTGTACTGAACCAGCATCAAGGTGTCAATAGTGACTTATATGGACCTATATATTATCCTTTCATCATGTATTGGTTATGATGAAAATGGATGGACAACAATAACCCAAATTTTACTCACTCTCATAAGAAACGACATTGCATCTTGAATACAACACAATGTGATCAAATAGGCAAATGAAATTACAGTGGAATAAAATACAATGGACCAGTTTTCATCCCTAAAACTAGCTTTTATCAATATAAAAAAAATCTTGTCTGAACAGCTAATTAAAATGGTAGATACTGCCATACCTTTCATGGACTACAATGTGAGTGGAGTAACCCCCTTTGTGACAGTCCCATCTGTGTCAATGCCATTGAAAGTATAAACTCCTTTTGGGCAGTGGTTTTCTAGAAAGCTATTGCAGTTCTCACAATCTCGGCATGAGTTCACTTCCTCCATCTACAGTGGTTAGTTTTATGCTATTCTTTCTTTCTTTTTATTGGTAGGTTTTTCTTAATAATGGTACAATTGGGTAATAGCAGAATAGGTAAGAGGGTATTTTGGACTAATTTTTGCATATTGATAGTAGTGCGTAATTTATTAGATGTCTATTGACATTTTGATTTTATTTTCTTCAATTAATGTCATAATTTCTAGACCTTGAGATTTAACATGGACCCTCTTTTGATTGAATCCATACTATAAAAGAACAAAGGAATTGAAAAATAGTTGTTACCCAAAATAATCATACCCACCTTCTATTACAATCGTTGGATGGTAAGTTGTCTTTAAATCCAATGGCGTATATTAACTTGATGGTGGGCTATCTGTAATCTCACATCTTACAGGTGAAATCTTACCCGTTCCTGTAGTTGTATTCTTACGTCCCTTCTCTCATCGCGGTTTTTTTTCATGCGCCTGTCAGCATACCCGCCCGCCCATACCCATTTCTTCCGCCGCCGCTTGCTTCGGTGATGCTGATTTATTTGTTTCTCTTTCCCAGCGCCTCTAGTCCTCCTCCCCTCTCCTCTCCATCGCACGCTGGGGGACACTGGACGCCTGCAGTCACTCGGCGACGGAAGACCGGCGGATGCACTCCTCAACACCACGTGCGGTGTTGCACCAGTCATCGTGAGTTCCATCTATTTCTTTCTTCTCTCTTTTCGGCTCCAATGCTCCCCGTTTCATTCATCTATTGGTTTCGTCTCCCTTCAGATCCAGATCGTCGCCAGCTCAAGCTTGAAGATAGCGCTGGTGAGGTAATGCAGGTGAGGTAGGTACCTAATCCTGAATGACTGCCCCGAGTTCCTCCATCCTTTGCTTTCCAACATCTTCTATTGTTGTGGTTCTTGTAATGGATGTTTACGGATACAAGTTGATATCTTTTACTGTATTTTATAAGTTCGCTCTCCGCGGCGGCGGTGGAGGCCAAGATGGCGGCGCAGCAGCGCCCCCGCGGCAAAGAAAGTTGCGGAGGGATGGGCGCCGGCCTGAGTAGACTTATTTTAAATCTTTTTACATGTTTTTTCTTTTGCTTAGCCTTGCAGGGCAGGAACGCCTTTTTTTGTTAGAAACTTTGATTGGTCTGTTTTTCTGATAGCATTAGTTGCATGTATGTTGACCGGCTTTCTGTTTGCAGGAAACGGAATGTCTCTTTTCTGGACATGAGAATCTGAGAGGATATTGTGCAGTTTAATTCCACACACTGATACCAGGGTTCCTGAGTCGAGACCTACAGAGGAAACTATCCTTAGTGGATAGTGGTAACCGTCAGTGATTTGTACAAAATTTAATTTTCCCCATCAGATCTTTTCTGTGTGCCAAACCACTATTAATTTTCCAGGCTTCTAATGGCTATATAGTCTAATCTGTGTCCTACTATATGATACTTTAGGTAAGTAGGAGACCATTAAATAGTAGGCACACATCGTAGAATGTTTCAGATTAAACAAAAAAAAATATTGGAACACATATGCTTTTAATGAGAAAACAAGTAATGCATTAAATTTCATAATTAATATATCATTGATCATGCTGAGATTGATGTTGTCTTTATACAGGGCAACAAAATAAAAGAGGTGTAATTAAAATAAATTATCCATGTTGCTATCTTTAGGATCTTTCATCTTAAATAAATTCTGACATTACAAGAGAGCTTTTCATATGCAGATACTATCCCCAAATTGTAAGTCTGCGAATAAGAGGATACAAAGGTAAGCAGTGTCAAAAATTTTAGGGTCCATTTGTAGTTTAGAAAGACTCTATTTTCTCAAACATTATTATCCAACACATGGTTACAGCATTGGTGGCATTCACTTCGGAAATGAACAAATCAAAGAAGCAGATCATATTGGGATGAAAATGTACACCTGGAATGATTTCTTAAAAGTGGGTTTGAACCATCATTTCATCAATATTCCAGTGCAAATGCATTAGCGAGATAGCCATACATATACTAACATCTTTTATTTTCTTCCTATTTCATTTTTAGATTGTCACCGACACCTGAGAATAAGCATTGCAGTGCTCTAACTGGTATTGATTTGCCGCGCTCCTATTTTTGATAGATCTCTGATTGATTGATGCTCACATTATTTTGAGTCGAGTTTAGGTTCATAACTTCATATACAAATTGTGACTTAGGCAATTCAACTCTGAATTTTCATATAGAAATCTGGTGCAGTAGAGTAGCACCTCCAACCTTAGTTTCATCATTCTGTCTAATGTCTCATATTCCCGTTATCATTGCATTGTACTCTTTATACAAAATAGCCTAACAGCACAAAGAAATATTGAAAATCACCAGTCTTGTTGGAAGGAAGGACATGGCCATGTCATCACAGCACACTAAATGTCAACACATTGGTAGATTCAATTTGTTTATGGTGGGTGGTATATATAGCAGATAGCACGAACCCACTCGCCACTGGTGTCATCATTAGAAGTGTATATAGAGTATGATGATAAGTGTATATAGTCAATTATTTATTATAAATTTGTTGATTTTATTTTTATATGTAGGTACTGTTATCATTGTGCATGGTTGAATACCCACCTGGTGCTGGCTCATATGGATTGTTCTAATTGATGATGTTACCGATCTTGGAGCTGGTGCAAGTGGCAAGGGAAGATCAGGCTATGTTACAGAACCATTATTATGGTGGAACATCTGAGTATATCACGAAATTTCTTAGCCTACTCATCTAAGGCCTTGTATAATTGATTGAAAGGATCAAGATGCCCAAGAGGGGGGTGAATTGGGCTAATTCTAAATTTCTTTGCAATAATTAAATCCTACGGTTAGCCCAATTAACCCCTTGTGCCTAAAAAGTGTTTCTAGTTGTTCTACCGCACAAATGACTTGCAACCTAAGTTCCAATCCTACTCTAGCATGGCAATTCTATGAATTGTAAAGACAAGAATTGAATTGCTCAATGTAAATACTCAAAGTAATTACTCAAAGGAAATACTCAAAGTAAATGCTCAAAGTAAATAGAGAAGGAGGAACGCGGCGATGTTTTGTCGAGGTATCGGAGAGTCGCTATTCTCCACTAGTCCTTGTTGGAGCACCCGCGAAAGGGTGTAGCTCCCCCTTGATCCGCGCAAGGATCAAGTGCTCTCTATGGGTTGATTCTTCGACACTCCGTCGCGGTGAATCACCCACAACCGCTCACAACTTGAGTTGGGTCATCCACAAGCTCTCCGGGTGATCACCAAGCTCTTCAATCACCACCAAGCCGTCTAGGTGATGGTGATCACCAAGAGTAACAAGCACGAACTCTCACTTGACCACAACAAGCCTAGGGAGAAGGGTGGATGCACACTTTGCTACTCTTGATCTCACTAATGAGGGCTCTCTTTGGAATTCTCAAATCTCAATCACCTTACTAGGACCTTACTCTTCTTGGCACTCTCTAAGGTGTGTTTCAGCTGTTGGAATGAGCAAAAGTAACTCCACACACGAGTGGAGCTTCTATTTATAACATGGGCTGAAAAACGAACCGTTATGTGCCTCTGCGGGGTGACCGGACGCTCCGGTCATGTTGACCGGACGTTCCGGTCAATACACCCCGAACTCCAG